TATATATATTTCCAAGAAGTCCTTCCTTTAGTTCAGTTCAGCAGAGACTGTTGGAACAAAAACAAAAGTGACTCACATTTAATAGTTTTATCTCCAATCAATCATGTTGAAATTGGTTCCAACCTCATTTCACATTCTTCTCATTTTTAAATGTGAGAAGGTTAGACAGGCTTTCACTCAAAAAGCAACAGAAAACCAGGGACTCACTCACTTGACCTCTTTCACTTTAAATTAAACAAAACTTTAAAATACTGGAAAGAACTGAGATTTTTTTTGTTTTCTTTTACTTTTCCTCACAGAGCTTCAGTATGATTCTCTATTATCTGTTGTGTCTGTACCGTGCTGCTGCAGAAAGTTGTAAAGGGTCGTATGGTGATAGAGACAACTCTTTAAATCAGATGTTTCTTTTAAAGACCTTCAAAGACGTTCATTCAGACAGGAAATACCAAAAATATTCCACACAAAGTGGAGCAAAAAACACCTCGTTACAAACTGACCCTGCAGGAATGTGGAGAAGAAAAGTGCTGCTGAAAAGACTGTTTTCTAATCCACAGCAGAAATTTTGCAGTGGACCTACATGTATCRGTGTCTGCGACATAAATCAGAACCTTTGCAGTGGTATCTGTGTCTTCAACAAGTTTCAGAACCTTTGCAGTGGACCTACAGGGATTGGACAATGAAACTGAAATACCTGGTTTTAGACCACAAWAATTTATTAGTATGGTGTAGTGCCTCCTTTTGTGTCAACAGCATCAATTTGTATTGGGAATGACATATACAAGTCCTGCACATTTACAGTCAGAGGTATTTTAAGCCATTCTTCTTGCAGGATAGTGGTCAGGTCACTACGTGATGCTGGTGGAGAAAAACATTCCCTGACTCGCTCCACCAAAACACCCCAAAGTGGCTCAATAATATTTAGATCTGGTGACTGTGCAGGCCATGGGAGATGTTCAACTTCACTTTCATGTTCATCAAACCAATCTTTCACCAGTCTTGCTGTGTGTATTGGTGCATTGTCATCCTGATACACGGCACCGCCTTCAGGATACAATGTTTGAACCATTGGATGCATATGGTCCTCCAGAATGGTTCGGTAGTCCTTGGCAGTGACACTCCCATCTAGCACAAGTACTGGGCCAAGGGAATGCCATGATATGGCAGCCCAAACCATGACTGATCCATCCCCATGCTTCACTCTAGGCATGCAACAGTCTGGGTGGTACGCTTCTTTGGGGCTTCTCCACACTGTAACTCTCTCGGATGTGGGGAAAACAGTAAAGGTGGACTCATCAGACAACAATACGTTTCACATTGTCCACAGCCCAAGATTTATGCTCGTTGCACCACTGAAACCGATGTTTGGCATTGGCACGAGTGACCAAAGCTTTGGCTATAGCAGCCCGGCTGTGTTTATTGACCCTGCGAAGCTCCTGARGGACAGTTCTGGTGGAAACAGGACAGTTGAGGTGCACATTTAATTCTGCCATGATTTGGGTAGCCGTGGTTTTATGTTTTTGGATACAATCCTGGTTAGCACCCAGACATCCCTTTCAGACAGCTTCCTCTTGCTGTTGAATGTGGTTGGTCCTTCTTGGTGGTATAATGACATCACCCTGGATACCGTGGCTCTTGATACATCACAAAGACTTGCTGTCTTTGTCACAGATGCTCCAGCAAGACGTACACCAACAATTTGTCCTCTTTTGAACTCTGGTATGCCAGCCATAATGTGTGCATTGCAAAATTTTTAGCCAAACTGTGCTATTACCCTGCTAATTGAACCTTCACACTCTGCTCTTACTGGTGCAA